CCCCCCGAGCCGTAGGCTCCGGACCCCACCGGGTGGAGGGACGTGTATCTCCTGGGCAGCTCCCAGAGGGTTTTGTTCACCTCCTGTTTGTAAAAGCCTCTTCTCCTCGCGATGTTCATCGCCCGGCGGGTGCGGGACTGCCACCCCCCCAGAGTACTGAAGTACCGGAGGGCTTCTGGGGCGAGAGCGGGACAGCGAGGTCTCCTGTGCTGCTGAAAAAGGCTCTAGCGAGTTTCCTTCTCCGTTTTCAGCTGCTGCGAGCGTGAAGGGACATGTCTTTGGGCCCTCCTCCCTCCGCCTCCACATTGGCAGAGGTGAGGCATCAGGTTCCCCGACACGCCTCGCTCTCCTGCAGCTGCCTCTGGACTCTGCTACTGGAGCAGGGACACCTCCGGGAGCCCCACCGTCACCTGCGGCTCTCCCTCTCCTGCTTCCACAGGGCCACCGGCCGAGAAATATCCTCATGGGGCTCGGAGGGGGTCTCGTGAAATCCCTGCACTGAACAAGCAGATGAGTAAGGACTCGTCGAGCCGGGGAATCTGGGGGACAAGCCACAGCGCCTCGTCAGACAAGCGGGGACATTCTTCTCTCCAGCTGATGGAGGACAGCTCCAGGCTGGTGACGAAGGACCCCAGGGTGTTACATCCACAGGAGAGCATGGAAACGATGGCGATTTTCTCCCAAGCCTGGCTTCCCAGCAGAGCGGGGACATGGTGAATGTGCCGAGGTTCTCCACCTTCATCCAGGTGACCGCAGCGAGAAGGTTCAGGAGCAGCTGCGAGATGGGAACATCCCGAGAGCTGTTCCTGGCCCAGGCTTTGCTGGGTCTGGTTTCATTTCCTGCAGCAGGTCTATCTAACCCCTTCTCGGCTCCGCAAAGCCCAAGTTCACTGCTGTGCCTACCAGGACCAGGCCAGAGCAGCAAACCCAGGCTGCGAGAAAATCCGTTCCTGGTAAGCAGAGACCACCTCGACATTTTGCTCCAACTTGAGGAGGCTCAGGCAGGCTCCCACACAGGAGGTAGGTGCATCCCACATACTTCCCAAAGGAAGTGACTAAGCTGCGCCTTACCGAGCCAGCCCAGCTGCTTGGACAGTGCTCTACCCTACCAAGCCCTCGACCCTGCCCATAGCCTCTGCTCCTTCCACAGGTTTCACCCGCAAAGGCGTCCCTGCTTGGAGCACGTCCGTGCAGCAGGATTAGAGCCAAGTTACCCAATAAATAGGAATTACGGAAAAAGCACCATCGGGGTTTTTGGAAATGTTCATTTTACCTCCTTACAGGCAAGCGCTGCAACACATATTGGCGATGGGCCGTAGGTGCTTCAGATAGCCCTGGTAAGGTCTGCTGTTTTATAGAACAAAAACTAGGGACAAGGTGCTGTGGCAACTATTTAACCTTGCTTATGCCGATATGTGTCAATAAACCCTGGCTACAGCAACAGCAGCGTCAGGAAATAAAGCGACTGTTGGCTCGGTTCTATAAATACACCTGTGAGCAAGAGGTGCTACAGCAAAACCTCCTGGTTCATAAGCAACCGTGTAACTCATTTGTTATTTTACGAGCTCGACTCTTGCTCAACTACATGTGCACATGCAGGTAATCAGCGCACAATTAAGGAGTTTTAAATATCTAGGGCATGGCTTGGCTGTAGAAAGATGAATTGATTCCAGTGACCAAATCGAATAGGAAACCTTCAGTTAAGTGATTTGGTTTTGTCAGTGTAGTTCATTCCCCCCCCCAGTTCAGTTCTCACTGACTTCAGTGGGTTGTTTTGCCAACCAGGACGTATTGTAACTGAGCACATTCTGGAATTGTTTATCTGGGCTGGTTTGGATATTTTTTTTTTAACCCAATAAATGACAGGTCCTGTTGAGGCTGTTTTCCCCTCTCCTCTTGGTTTGTACCAAGGCAAGCAGAGGGTGAGAACAAGCGGGAAGGCGGCTTCCACACGGCTGAGAGAACAGCCCCACGCTTTTCTTTGTACTTACTGAAATCGGCTGCTGCACAGCTCTGACCGCGTGGACATCGGCTACCTGACTCGAATCAACACGAACCACCTGCGGTTATCAAGGTCTGGGAACTTCAGTTATTGAGGCTTCTGTTAGTGTGAAGAACATAGCTTTAGTCAATCGTTCTTCCAAGCGAATGGCACCCATATGCAACAGAAGTCAGAAAATCTCCCCTACGGAGAGCCATGATGCTCCTACTCCCATAAACACCCTTCCACCACCAACGATATGGCAGCTGAAGAGGAAAAAAAAAAAAAAATCTCTTTTAAATACAGAAACACAAACCAGTACCACTGGGGAAGGGTCCCAGGTCCAGGCAAGTAAACAGAAAATAAAAAGTATTTTTTTCTGTGCCAGGACTCACGGTCAGAACTCTCAGCTAGTTTTGTAGGAAAGAATTCCCTTGGGACAAATATGGACACAAGCCCAGTGTCAGCAGTCAGTCGGTCAACAAGTCACGCGGCCTTGGCCCCCCAGCTCCAGCCATCACACAGAGGATCCTGTATGACTCGAGGGAGAAATTCGCACCCTGCTAAAACCCTTTAGTGCAAGAGGTTTATAAGGACCATCAGCGCAGTAAATCTGAAAAATAGGTTTTATTTTTAACCAGTGGTATTGTGACATCTTATCTGGCATAACCAATTACAGCAAAATTCATGGAGAGAAACAAAATAGCAAATCTCTTCTTTGAAGTGCGTCCTTCTGTTCAGTCTGTGGGCAGCTGAACAGCATTGCACCGAAGGTAGGGAGTGCATGCCACGCAGGCTCCCGGTCGAGTACGGACTCCAAATGAAACATTCCCACTCACACACGCGCACAGACACACACACACACGCACAACATCTATATTTTTAAAAATCTTTAGCAATATTTCCGCATGAAATCACACTGTAGCATCTACACATAAAATGGCTGATAAAAATAATCTTGCTGTAGGTTTACATAGTATATCTACATTTTCATTTGAATACCTGGACTGCTGGTCCAGCAGAAAAGGGAGGTTTTCTGCCTTGATTTTGTCAGGCTGAGTAGAGTTTTATCCCAGAGCATGAAACAACTGCTCTCTTCATCTCACCCCAGCACTTTTTATTAAGTGTTTGACCTGAAGAGATCACTGGAAGGTAGCCTAGGAAGAATCAATGGTTTTGTCATCCATGTCCCATCCCTTTGTGTTGTCTGTTCAAACACGGGGTAAAAACACTACAAACAGTTCCTCTCCGTCTCATAGGTAACAAGAATACAAAATACTGCAAAAGCCCTTCTCCTCACATACACAGGTACGTTGTCCACACAGGATGCCTGCAACAAATAAATGTCTAAAAACGTCTCCTCCGCAAGTCCCAAAATCAGGCTCCTGAGCTCCCCAGGTACAGTTCTAGCACACAAACACGCTGAGAAACCTCCCTCCTGCCAGCCTTAACTCTGGGCGTTTCACTCGCGCAGAGTCGTGTACAATACACAATGTTTGAACCATGTTTGCATTCAAACATACTCCCTTTTCATGTTTTCTCAGGCAGAGATCAACCTGCTAAAAAACAGCCAAGAAGCTCTTATCTGAGAGGGTAAAAAAAACCCTCTAGTAAAGGTTAGTTTTTTATATATATAAATATTTCTATTTATAGATATAGACAATGAAAGGGAGATTGTGGTTTTATGCATGCTTACTTCTTTGCTTTGGATTCCAATACTTCTAAAAAACAATTATTTTCAGGAAATAACTTAAGTTCTGGCACAAGATGCCATAGTTGTTTCTTTGAAGAACATTTTTTTACATTTGATCTCACAAGAAACCCTCCATCCCAAGCTCTCCTCCTCTGAAACCAGAAAGTCAGAACAAAGAAAAAGGTGCATGTTTCTATGCCGTATATTTCATCCTTTCCTCCTCAAAGCCTCCAGAATGGCAGGTATTTCACAATGAGCTGCAGCACAAGAGGAAGGATGCTGTGATTTCATGGCACTGGCTGAGGTACTTAGTAAAACAGTTCACTGACGATTTAAAACTGCCCCAGTGCCATCCCCAAAAAAGTAACGACAAAAATCAAGCAGCTCTACATGCACACACAGCTATGACATGCAAAAACACCCCACCTTTTAAGGAACAAAATACACAAACGTGTGGCTAGCAAGAATCTTCTCTGGCCTCTGCCTCTCAGGACCTAATGCTAGGAAGCCTCAGAACGAAGGGAGGGGAAGAGGGAAAAATACAGGAATATCCAATCCAGAGGTAGAGGCTGTTGCCTCGCAAAGTTATTTCCTGATTACATTGAGTTCACGCCTGGCTATCTGGGAGCCTTCACCCTGAAAACCAGTGGGGTCAGAGATTTCCACTCCAGACTTCCTTTCCCCCCCTCTCCCCATTCATTTAAGGCACAAACATATTTACAGTTTCAAACAAAACCTTTTCACGTTCCAAGAATCAGACATCAGAAGCCCTGTACATTCTGCTGTACCAGGAAGATCTGGACGTAAATCAGCCATCCGGCATTGAACGAGGACATCCCTCAACCCCACCTTCAGTCCTGAAGAAAACGGAGGACTCTCTAAGCCTATAAAACAACTTCCATTATTTTGAGGTTACTTAATTGTAGAAGAATTGATAAATGGCAACGATTGTAACCAAACTTTAAATGCCAACTTCCCCACCTTGCCCCAGCAGTGCAAACTGGTTGAGCACTGTTTCTCTGGAAGGACTAAAGAGCAGTCAGAACAGGTCTTCAGAGGCTTGCCCCAGGCTGTACACAGAATACGAGAGAGCATGCAGCATGTTTACATAGACTCAGCTTTCTTCCCTCCCCCCACCCTCCCCAGTTCAACACACACAAAACCCCTCCACCAAGGAGAATATTGTTGTGACGAGGCACTTGAACGATAATCGGAGAGTCCCTATGAAAAGGCCTTCCCCTCACAGTGAAGTGGGACAACAGAAGAGAGAGGTTTCTCAGGACTCCATCTCCTCCTGGTCAAGCGGTGGTGGCACAAAGCTGATTACTTCATCGTAAGTCAGGCCTGGTGGGAAAAGCGTGACAGAAACTTAACAGGCAGTACTAAAGACAGTTGTCATGCAAGAAAACCTGCAGCAATCTTAAAAGTTCTAACACTTTTTAAAATGAAAAACATGGTTTAATTAAGAAGAAAAAGAAAAGAATGGTTACACCATTCTTAGAAATGAATGTACACAATAAAAGATACTTCCAGAGCATTGCTGAGATGTAAGTTTGAAAACGTAAAGACACGAGCAACTATGTCACCTACATGTTTGTATGCTCATAGTAATAATTCCTTAGCAGGGACTATGCTAATTATGTGCACGGCACACAATAGATTCACTCAGTATAAGGACCACAGAACGAAGAGGATGTCTGCATTTTTATCAGTTTCTTTTGTGCCTCAAACTACCATGGCTTAGTTGAACCACAGCTTATGGAATGGACCACAAAGGAAGCAGGCTGGCTCTCTCCTGTCCCCCAAACTCACTTTTCCATTCTTCAATCTCAAGTTCTCTGCTTTCAAAAGACTGGTCATAGGGGTCTGCCACTGGTTCATCGTCTGGGTCGTGATATTGAGCAAAGTAGGCATGAGCCAGCGCTTCTGCGGCAGTAATTCGTTTGTCTGTATCCAGTACCAACATCTTCTCTAGCAAGTCCACAGCTGCAAAAGCATCAAAACAGAAAAGAAAGGATTTTACATCATGAGCTGTGTGACATCGTACTCTGAAACGTAAGCTCGTAAAAACCCAATGTATATGGGGAATCTGTAGTTTCTCAGGACCCACTCATCATCCGCTATTTCTTCCTCTTATACCCTCAGCCCACACATACTTTGTGAATTTTGAAAACGGTACATAGCTCTGTTCTGAACTACTTCTGCAGTCATAGCAAAACTTTGGGCAAGTCTTTGTGTCCCAGGACACGCTAGCTTCAGCTTCAGGAAGAGCACAACATCTAAAAAGCAAGCCTTACCTAGCGGATTGGCACCAATAAACACATTTTCAAAGTTCATTTTCGGCATGTAAGACAAAGACTGAATGTAGTTTCTTGCCTGTGGAAATAAACGCTCTGTTGAAGTACGATACAATCCAGCCACCAAGACAAAGTACATTTCAGTCATCCTGAAGCATGGGTTATTATGGTCCGTCTCCTCTCTTTGCCTTCTCCTTACTTATTCTGATACTTAGGAAGCCCATCACCAATACCCCTTCCCAACTAAAGGCCACTCAAGTGAGCAGAGGAAGAGCTGACATTATTTGGGGTTCATGCAAGACTGAAAAGCAAAGAGGTGCTGCAAGAGCCAACTGCCTTGGAGTCCCAGCAAGGCTGCGTGCAGCATGGTGTCTGTTGGTAAGCCGCACGACATGGCACACGATGCAAAACCAACTCTCATCCAGGTTCTCCTGAGTTTCAGGAGTCTGTGGTTGAGTACCCACTGTCCAAATCTGAAGTCTTCATTTAGTACAAAAATCTTGCTGAAGAGCAGGTAGTTAATCGCCCACCCCATGCCACATGCGAGCATATCGTGTATAGAAGCCGCCAACACTGCAAGTGAAGACCTGCCCTGCAAACCCCCCTCATCTGCTCAGGTCTCACCTCGTGGCTGGGCATCCTGTTAATGAGATATGCAGGGGGCGTTCCCGTCAGACGCATGATCTGCTGAAGCTGGTTAATATCTTAAGTGCCTAGTCAAGGGCTTTGTTAAAAACAGTGCAAGAACCATTTTAAACAGAAAACAGCTGCATACAAAGCATCTCTTCTGCAAACCACAAGGCAAAAGCCACACAGGCTGGGTCCACTAATTTTTTTAAATACTTGTGAAAAGCTTAGCAACTGCACTAGTGAACACTTCAAACAATGGAGAATTATCGATCCGTTTGGTAACAGGATCAGTACAGAAAATATTTCTGTCTGCCATAAGTAGTATTACACTACAACATGGTTCCGTTCACATTTCCCAACAGTTTCAAGCCAGAGTAGACATTTCCTTTGGCTGAAGCTACTCCTCAAAAATTTTCCTAGGCTGCTGCAGCTACATACAGCCTTCAGGAAAATGAACAAAAATTAGAACAGAAACAAAAATTGTAATCTCTGCACTGGTTACCAGCTTTTTTTTCCTTGCTGAAAGTACATAGAAAGTACTTAAGTTCCTTGTGGTGCAAAATGAAATCGGCTCACAACTGACACCTCCTTCTAAACAGCTTTGAATGCACTTTGATATGTGGGCGAGGTGACAGAAGGCAACAAATGCAAAATTAGCAAAACATTAGCATTGCATAAGACAGAGTTAGCTGATGTCAGTGAACAGAGAAAGTAAGGGCAAGTGAAGTAATGCAGCAGGAAAACAGCATTCGTTACAATGACACGCTAAAGGCCCTCAAACACGCAATAGTTTTGCTATCTCCATACAATGGAAAAAATTAGTAGAAACAGTACTTTACTGCATTTTTTTTTAAACAGTCTTGATTTGGACCTGGTTGAGACCAATTATTCTTTTTATTGTGCAATGTTGAAAAAAAAAAAAAAGACCCACTTCATTCTTACGTATGCAAACTAATCTTTTGCTTAACCTGGTCAACCTTTAAGCTTATCTCTCGCTAATCCCCTGTACTTCAAACGCCAGACTACCCTTAAGGTCAGTTCACTGGGCAATCAAAGCAACCTGCGTTATTCAGTTCTAACCTTTCCAAGGGTAGAACATCCCAGGGCTTTTTAAACTGGTGTAATATTCGGCAAGTTGACCAACTGATTCTAACTTGCACCACATGTCTACCTTCATCAAACATAATCCAAGGCTAACCTCACATTTTGCATTTACCGTCACTGTTACATGGGAAAGAACATCAGCTGCAGTACAAAATAATCTTATCGCCACTCTTCACCGCACTGATTCTCTATTACGTAGCAGAAACAGCAGAGTGACTTGCTAAAGCATGCTGCTAGTTACCTCTACGCAAGCTCATTGCTCACTATGCGTTAATTTGCTAATTTGTACTGTTAGGGTATCTCTTGCTCTAACTTCAGCAACAGGTTAAAATTAAATGCCATTTAATATTGTCCTTGCAGAAGTTCACAATTCAAGATTAGAACAATACAGAAATGGTGGTATGGCTGAAAATAGAGGTCACCCTTTAAAAAGGAGACTGCAGAAAGCTTTTTGCTATTACCTTGATAAAAGGGCCCCATACAGCAATACCCTTTAAATACACAGCAGAATTAGTTATAATCTCAGCAGACTATATACTGTGTGTCCCGGGAACAGCTGCCACATAAATGCACCTAAAAGGCCTTTTGCATTTTACACTACAAAAACGAAGATGGTGGCAGTAGCGTTTCAGAAATTAATCATACTACAGAAGGGACTCTGTGTGTTTAGAGGATAACACGCTTGCTCCTGTTAAGAAAGATCCCTGGGCAGGCAATCTGGAGAAATAATAATTGAGACGAGCCTCAAGCTCTTAGCTGTGAAAAATACTTCCCCAGCAGCATCTGATCATACAATGTATCATGAAGTATAAACCCACAAACTGAAAGAAAAGTCACGAAGCAGTAAAATGAGAATATGGAAGGAAGAAATCATACCACAGGCAGAGGTAAGAGGAATAAAGATCAGATATACACAGCATAAGAACTCAAAGCCATCCAAGAGCAAAGAATGACAAAGGAAGAAAAAAAAATAACAGAAAATAAATCCCAACACATACTACAGATAGACTACAGGAGGGCAACACACAAACTTGGGACTTCCAAAAGGGCAGATATTACAATCAAAGTGTAAACTCACAGACTCTGAGGAGATTTTCTTCAAAAGCTCAGGCCCTGGGGTTCCAACGAGTCTCAAAATGAGCTTCAACTGATCAATATCTAATGATGGACCATAAAGGAAAATGCTGGGACAAATAAAAATGAAAAGCGCAACATATCAGCCTATTAATGTTGAAAGTTAATGCCTGCCAAGGCCTCAACTGAAAAGCTATTTTAAGCAAACCGTATTCATTCCTCTTGTTTACAATTGAATACCCCCATATAACACAGCTCTGTCCGTATCGGACAGATTGAACAACTTGTCTACAAATACACCACATGCAATGCATCGGTCGCTGCATCCTTAACTATGGCGGAGCAGAAGTCAAAGCTTTCGCCCCACTGGCAAAGGACCAGTTTACATGCTCGCTTCACCCTCTCAGGCCCCACACCAAAGGAGAAGCAGTTAGCAGGATTAGGTTGCGTTAGTGACAGATGAAGTAGAGCAGAAGGCTGAAAAGTGTAGGCACTAATATTTTTTAAAAAGTCAAGGCCTTTTGTGAACACCTTCCAAGGTAATTCAGCCACTTCTAAAACTCAGAAAGTAAGAAAATGACTGGATCCTGCTCGTGACCTACAGCATCCCTCCACCTGAACACGGGTGCACCTTCCTCAGGCCCAGAGCAGCCAGGGTGCTGCAGCTGGTGGAGATGCTCGCCCCTGCCAGCTCCCTGGGGACCAGGAGGCCAGGATGCCAAAGCACCCGGATCTCCCTCCTGCCCTACCAACACGCTGGAGAGGCAGAGAGAAACAGAGCGTGGGCTCGGATTTAACATCTGTGTAGAAAGCTCTAGGGACATAACATCGCAGACACAAAGAATGTCTTATCCAGAACAAAGCTTCCATCAGGCCACGTACCAATCTGAGCTGTCCTCTTTAACAAGGCAGAAAAATTAAATATCTGGCATGAGTGACAAAACATACTCTCGAGGGAAAAAAAATCCACTAAAGACACAGTTTTATGTCCAAAACTCAAGACAGTAAGGAGACACAAGGTACCTTTTTAAAACTATTAAAAGAATAATCTGTGTTCTCTGAATTATCCTCCATGCTGCCCTTCAAAACCTACTACTGGTTTCAGACTGTGTCTGTAATGTTTTTATTTGCCCTTAAAATTACATCAAACTAGTTAGGCTTTTTCCTTTCAATAAAAGTAGTCTACTTACTAGACAAAGTTTTTTTCTGGGAATCAATGCCTTCCTGATGTTTTAAGATACACTTACAATTCCTTGTTAGAATATCTTTTAATTCAGGTACTACAAGAACTTCAAAAACTGTCTCCTGTTTTTAAAAAAGCCTCAGAGTTCCTGTAATACTGGCAAACTGTATATGGAGGAAATCACCGATACTTTGCCAAAGCCTTTTATCTTTTGATGTAAACTTTGGTCTAAAGTTTTAAGTATGAAATGAACTAAAAGCCCTGGAAATAGTACTTTGTCAGAGCAGCTGAACTAATTTCTCACTTCTCAAGTTGCTTGGCCAACTCCCACCTACTTAAACACTCCAAACCCAAGAGTAAATCCAATGTATCTAGTTGGATTTAGCTTAGCTGCTGAATTGCCAACTCTTAATTGTCAATGCTTAAAATGAAATCAGTATATCCACTGTGTAGGAGAATTAGCAGAGGGTGCTATACTAACCACAATTAGCTCATTTAAACTGGCTTTTCTTCAGTGCCATTTAAAACAGCCCTTACATCTTACATCTTTCACTCGTTCTTATGCAAGAAACAGTTGTGCAAATTTTAGATGGCTAACATGCCTCAGAAGTCACATGCCATACCTCAGTTTAAATACTTAAATTCTTTTAAAGGCGTTTAAAATCACATGCACCAGGTGCACCAACAATATTGCCGCACAGTTTGCTGCCAGCTCTTTTCCCAGGGAAAATTGCTATTGGAAGATATTTGTGTCATGTGCTTCAGTGACTTCTCAGATAGACAAGAGAAAACACAGAATGGATAACTGGCACTGCCACAGGCAAGCCAAAACCCAACCCTCCTAGTTTTAGGCCTGCCAGCTATAACGTGCTGAATTGCAGCACACATTTAACTACAGGGCCTACCAGGTCCCAGAGAAATGAGCCATAAGCAATTAAAGAGAGGAAAAAGATTCAGTAAATACAAAGCAAAAGAAAAACAAAACAAAACAAAAACACACATGTGCATGGAGAAGGAAAGCGAAGCATGCAAACCCCAAATGCCACCACCAAGGTACCCCCAACGACTGATGAGTCTCAGTGATCCTAAAATTCAGAAAACAACCTGCCATCACCATCAGTAGCAGGCATCGCAAGACTGTAAGAGCTTATCCAGGCAAAGCAAAGTTCAGAAGTTGTTTCAGCTGCCACCACAAGGGAGAGTAAGATGTATCAGAAGAATATGTAATTGCAGACTGGTTAGTTATCACGGAAGTCTCATACTACTGGATAAAAACACTCCTCAGAGTTTAAAAGGAATACAGTCAAAACATACGGAAAAATAAAATTGGCTAAACTAGTACAAAACATTCAAGATGTTCATATTTGTACTTTAAATCATTTTATGCAAGTCAAATTGTCAAAGTCAACTTTCCTACTTATTTGTATGAATCATTCACATTACAAGAGCTGTAAAAACATTAAGAATATACATGTTTAACAGAAACTTATCTTGGCATAAGACAGATACGATAACACCAAAAAGAAAGCCTCTAGTTATACCTAACATTAAAAGTCTGAAGGACCCTGATTTTCATTACCTCAAGTTTTTTGTCTCTGATTAGTCTCTCCCACAATCTTGCTTCCCCCTTCTCCACCTCTTGGCAGAGGTTTTACCGATATTAGAAATCCACCTTTCATCCAAATATTTCCACTCATAGATTACAATAGGAACAGTCCAGTTAGCTTACATTCAGTTTTAAGTTAGGAATATTGTAACAATCCTGCAGAACTAAGCCCATGTTAACCACAGGTTTTGGTGGGTTTCTTTCTTTTTTTTTGTTTTGGTTTTTTTTTTTTTTTTTTCCCCTCAGAGTATCTACAATTCTTGCTTTAAGTCAGTGACAGGCACATTCAGAATCTCTACAGATTAGGTCCTTCAGAACTTAAAATAAATCAGAACTTAAACCTAAATTCAGCATTAGTTTATTAGTGGCATAATCATCATAGGCAGCACTGAAGATCATCATCTTGGAATACAACTTTATTACTTACCAGATTAAATTAACTGTACATCTTGCCTGTACTGAAGCCCCTTAAAAGCAATATATGCATCTCCAGGCCGTATAAAGAAATATCTGATGGACTGTAAATAACATCACACCATTTCTGCTACATCCTTGGTGAAAGGGACTGATATTTCAAACAAGAGAACCACCTGAACAGGAGAATGATCATCCTGAGAAGGCATTACCCATTCTGTCACTATGTATTTCATTTTGGAAATGTGAAGCTATGTAGTTGAGAAAATTAATGTTTTTAGACCAAAACGCAAGAAGAATGTCAAATTTTCAGTTGTCAAACAGAAGCAGTTTCCAGCTTTCTGAACACACAGAATACATAGTCACCTTGCCTCCAACTGCAGAGTCAATTCCCTAGGACTGCAGTGGATGTGGTGGATATACTATACCCATGGCTACTAGAAGTATGGTAGATATACCTTGAATTAAGCAAGTTGCTATTAATTGCAAAGTCAGTAAGTCAGCAACTGCATAGTGATACTGCAGGAGGAACACAGGCCTCAGCAAATCTGTGGGTACAAAGAAATTAAGACCCCAGAAGTACCCGACAGGATCTACATCTGGAAAATTCCTAAAACTTTCTCCAAAAATCACGCATCTGTAATGATTGCAAAGAGCCTGCCAAGACAGGAAGAAGCTAGAACCCATCGTTATCTTACTTCTGCTTGCTGCCTTTAGATATCAGCAAAACTGGAGTGAAAGCTGACAGCCTGGTGCCTTTCTAGATCCTTGGATAAATCTTACATGCACAAACAAGATTCATAACCACAAACCCTGCTCCCCTTACAGTTCTAACCTCATGATCAAACAGCTTATACGCTACTGAAAGTGGAGACCCACACATATAAACTGTAAGAACTATAGCACTACAAAGTTTTATCTACAACGGGAAAGGATTGTGCCTCATTTTTCCTAAAAATCTAACCAACTTAGAACAGAAAAAGCATTTAATTCAAAAGTGTTACTACCCATTTGCAAAAGAAATTGAGTATTTGAAGTAAAGAATCAAAGCATCTACCGGTAGATATAAATCAGTAAAGTATCTTAATAGGACAAAACAAACAATTTAGAACCTAAAAGTAAACTTTATTTTGCATTGCGGATATTATTGGCTATAATTCACAGCTAATAACACAGTTGGAAAAAAAAAAACACTTTTCAGACTTGGAAGAGAACTGTTTTGTTCAATTCATAAAGAACACATCATGAAGCATTTCTTACATGCTGCAAATCCTATCAGCAAACATTTTACTTTCAAGCATCAAGATTTTTAAAATCTGAAGTGTCACTGTTACTAGGGTCAAAATAATGGCAACAGCTTAAAGACTTTTGCTTTCTTTGAATCAACAATTCTTGATTTCTCTTTTTTTTTTTTGAAAGAAACGAGAAAATCTGCCCAAACAAAATTATATGTGCTAAATCAGTGCATAGAAGTAGGGTAACTTTTTTCTAGCCTCTAAGCCACTTTCGTGCTAGTTCTGCTCCTGTCTCTAACAACAGAAAAATGCAGCAGAGATGACTAAACAGTAGAGTACAGCAAGCTCAACAAATCTGGAGAGAGATTATGAGATGGAGACAGGCAAAAAAAGAGAAGAAAGGATAAAGTTAAGGCACATTGAAAAGGGAGGTGAAACTTGTGTCAAAACTGGAATGAAAGCCTCCCCCCCATGAAAAAAAAGGAATCCAGATGCTTTCCAGAAGTAATGTAGTACACACAAGGCCAGCACTTCCAATGCTAGTTTTCTTTCCATCAAATGCTAACATATTTGAAGTAACAGATATAAATGCTAGTAAATTAATAAAAGTTATTAAAATAAACAAACTGTGGTTGAAAGAATAAACTCTCATAAGACATGGCCAACGTAGTTTTCTCTGGCAAATAAAGCCCAATTGCTGGGCAATGAAAAGTCTTCCCAGTAGTAAATTACCCCTATATGTTGTGTGGCTCAACAAACAAAAGCTGCAAGTGTAACAACTTGCATCAACTCTCAGTTCTAATTTCCTGGGGAAAAACGCGACCAACTCTCATGAACTGTGCTCTTGTTAAAGTGTCCTACGCAGCCCACTTTGGTCGGGCAAAAAAATAATTTTGAAAAGATATTATTCAAGCTTGATTTTTCACGTCAATACAAGCACACAGTGAAAGAAGGCTCACAATCTGTTTACACTCAAGCATGGAAGCGGAACCTAAACATTTCAGAGCAATTTGGAATGAGATCCTTGGCACTAAAGAATCTGCAAACCCACTGCTTTCACAACGTACCACCAGAATACAGGAGAGAGGCCAGAAGGGATGCTTCACATTTGCTAGAAACCTGAAGCGTGAGAGGATTCTTAGCAGACAGCCTACTCCATGCAGTTATTTTCTACAAAGAGCAATGAATTTAAATAAACTTAAAGGAGAGTAACTCCCAGAAACAAACAACATGTGAGTAATTCTAGTGATGCTAATAGACAATAAAGAGGAATAGATTTGCCTTCTTGCACGCTGTGATTGTTTCACGTGCAGCAAAATCAAGAACTCACCTCATTGTACTGTAAAAGCAGTCATTAATTTAAAAACAAACAAAAAATCCCACAACAAAACCCAGAACGTCTCTTCTTGTGAAGTATGCGAAAGTGAAGATCTCTAACTTCCATTTCAATAAATGTATTACTTTTAAAGGATACGGTCTGTACCAGGGAACAACGTTCTTCCAGTCAAGAGTTCAGCCATAATGCATCCCACTGACCAAATATCAACTGAACAAAATAAAACAAAAAACAAAACAACGTAATGCAGAAAAATACAGTCTCAATAGAATGACCCTATCCAACAAGTACAAACAATTTTATCTTTAAACAGTCTTACGGCGCTGAAACAATGTGAGATAGATTGCAAACTAACTGATACTGTTCAGTAACCACGTCGTCTAAGACTTGTCCAAATAACAGAACACTAGACCAGGCAACTTTTCCTTCCAGAGCATACCATGCATTGAACACCAAAGAGCTGGGGAGGAATCTACACAATCAGAGAGGAAGAAAGCTGTTCAAGACAACTCTGAGGAATTAATTTGCATATGGCCTTACATAAATTCTACCCAATCAACCACCAACTATTACACTACAGATACAAGACAACTCCATATACATGCAAGAGGAAAAGAGAAAAGAAGAAAAAGCAGTGAAGTATGAAATCAGAGTAGGACATTATTTTCTTCGATCCCTGTGCTCTCCTGTACAAGAACTACTCTCAGCATTTGCTTTTCTTGTCTGTGCGCGATCTGGAAGTACTGTAGGAAAGCATGGTGTGTTGCTGAGAAGATACTGGAAACTGTGAGGAAGATATAACTGTGAAGCAGTGGCTAAGAAGACAGGAAAGGAAGGGAGATTTATATACTTTTCAGCATTTCTTCACATCATAACTCCAGACGTTTTTCAGCATATTCCCAGCAGCTTTCTAGAAACGCACCTTCTCCTCATCCAGATGCATTCCATTCACTTACTTTAAAAACCACCGTGCTAGGAAAAATACAGGGTAAGTGCTGACAAAATTTTGCTGATTGCAATTTCAAAGACTCAAGTTTAAAGAAGTCTTGTGAATGCTATCACAATGCTTCTTAACTTACATCTGGTAGACTGTGGTTTAAATACTAATTTTACAGTTGACTTGATGATCTTTGAGGTCTCTTCCAACCATAATGATTCTATGCCTCCCTTCTTTTAATCACCCTTACTAAAGCATAATTACCATGACTGCCAACTTACGCGATCAAATGGAAAGGAGCACTTACAAAGGATAACCTCTTTTTTATTTTTATTTTTTTCCTTTTTTTCTTCCACAATCCAGGAATTGAAAAGCCTTTTGTTAGTAAAATGCATTACCTGTCTGGTTGTAATGCATCCAGTTCAGCATGATCTCAGGAGCCCTGTACCACCGGGTAGCCACATACCCGGTCATCTCATCATCTGTGTGTCGGGCCAAGCCAAAATCCAGGATCTATGGAATAGAAAAGACATCCACCAACTCCTGCAGTGGAACAATGCAAACTAGTTGGAGCAAATAGCTAGGCAGTTATTGGATTGGGTGGAGGAAAGGTGGTGCAACTGCAAAAGCAGATTATGAAACTAAATTTCACAACCTGTTAAAAGACACTAGCCTAGAACAGCACAGGACTCATCAATCAGAATTACACCTGGATATCTTGACTCTAAAACAACTAAACCCAAACTAAAGCTGGTAACTCTTCACTTTCACGATGATTCATTAAAAACACAGGAATAGACACAGAAGAAACATCCTCACAGCCCCTTACAGCTGCGAAGGACATTACCATCTTGGGCCACAAATGTATTTCTAATAAGGAATTATTTTGTCCCTTTAATTCCAAGGGGCATCTACACGGTATTCACTCAAATCACAGTCAAATCAATCGGACCTTGTGATTGCATTACCTTTAGCTCGCAGTCTTCATTTACAGCTAGGTTACTAGGTTTTAAATCCTAAAAAATTAAACATCAGCATTAACGGTGTTATTTTATATGTTGTTTCACAAGTCTAAAGTAGATAAAAATGTAAATGCAGACAGAAAATAGATTCTAACTGGCCATAAGTATCAACTCTCCTTATTCAGGAAAATTATTTTATCCCAGAGCCAGCTATCTCTTCTGTGGTCCTCAGAGGTGCCATATATAAGCAAAAACACTTAAAGGCTTACTGCAACACCAGTGCTGTAGATGTATATTTAACAAATAGAGAACTTATTTCAGAAAGATACAAGTCAAACATGGGCAGAAACAGAAACTACAGATCTTGACAACCACTTCCCATGTTTAACCTTTTGACTATTTAACAGAAATAATTCTTAGAAAACATCTTCTTTGTCTATAGGTGCTACACTGTACAATTCTGTGCTACATTTTAAAAATACATTGGCTCAGTACAGGAAGCAATCTTAGGATACTCACCCTGTGTATTATGTCAGCTGAATGGATGTACTGTAAAGCAAGATGACAAATTTTATATAACAGTCCAAGTAACCTCCTTCTCATTTCTTCACTAGACAACACTGCCCTACCCCATCCCACACAATTCAAATGCTATGGCTTGTCTGCAGAAGGAACCGAGCACCTGGCTACGGATAGTTTCAAGTAGGTAGGCGTTTCACTTTGTCTCTGCTTAGGAACATGCAGGAGCACTGCCACCGTGAGTGGGAACACCAGAAGAAAACTGAAGAAATGGAAGACTCATAGTCACAGCAGATTAGAGCGCAGCACAGTTCATACTTTCCAGATTCTGCCCATAGGAACATATAAAAATATCTCCTTAAATGATACATAACTTTACTGATACAGAGCTCCAAAGAGGTATGAAGTGAAAAACCAATAATAAAAGGTTATCCTAGGATATGTTAGGGAAGTTACTGAAGCCCCACTAGGTACTCATATGAATCTCTGAGGATATGACATTCATTGAGAACTTCCACCTCCCACTGATGAGCTATCAACATTCAGGTAGGACAGGTGCAAGTACCTTCAGTCCCCGAAGAATTTGGTATATGAGGAACTGCACGTGGTCATCGGTGAGTTTCTGGCATTTCACAATGTTGTTCAAATCTGCTCCCATAAGGTGTGTCACCAAGTACCTATGAACAAAAGGAAACAGGCTATGAAGCAATCCCTTCAACAGGATTAGGATTAAAATTCCCTATGAAGCTCCAGTAAAAGGGTTGACCGCCCCAAAGCGTGCTGCTGAATGAAATATAGTTCACAACACTAAATAACGTAGCAGATTAGTACGCTGATTCCTACGGCACTGGTCAATAAAACACAAGTGAACAAGTTTGACGAGTCCAATAGTTTAGGATGTCCTAGTATCTTCTGTGTTGGAGTTCAGAACTGTTTGAAAATGATGACAGACAAATTAAGGTGGCAAATATTTCTACCATAATGTGGGAGATGTAAGGAAGATACAAAAGATGTTTTGTTGCAGTCTTCAGAGAAGTTACCTACACATCATTGAATTCTTCCAGTGACTTGGCAGGGGTGAACACATCCAACAAGCCAATCACCTAGAAAGAAAATGGTACAGTGAAAAAACTGAAATATATTCATAGGATAATATGATACAGTTACTAAGATCCTTTGTGGAAGAAAAACTACTCCTTCGAGTAGATGTTTCATTTCCAACTACATGAATCATTCAGATGCAGACAAATTAGTATTCATACAAGATCAGAAAGAAACGTTCAACTCTTGTGTAAAAAAAAAAAGGTTAACAACGTACAGCAGTCTTGTCACACCATCCACTTATCCACTTAAAGCATCAAATGGGAGCCAGAACAAAAGGCAGGTGTCAACACTGGTTTAGAATACCTCATTTGAAAAAGAACAACTGAAGTTTGTTCAGGAAATAAATACATAACAGAAACAAAAAACCAACCACCAGGAAAAAAAAAAATAATGTTTGCTTCTCGCTCAATTCTTAGTTATACTGTTGACTACATACCAAAATCAGAATTGGGAGACTATACTTGTTTCACTTGTACTGAGTAATAGCTAGAAAAATTCAAGGATCTGTAACACAAGCAATGAATAATAATGACTACACTAGAAAATAAGCCAGGAAAACAGTGCAATGCAGCGGGGACCCAGTTTTCACAGAAAGCTGACAGCTTCACACTGTCATTTGCATTTTCTGCCCAAAGAGCAGCTACTCCACCGTTCATTCTACAGCTAAACTGTTCCGCCAGTAGAGAGTAAAAGGACATGCACATGTTACTTTGTGGAAAAGAACTACTACACCTTATCATCCCGTAATTATCTTTTAGGTCATCTACAGCATTTAAAAAAAAAAAATCCATCTGGTCCGTAAAGTTTTTTCCATTTTGCACTGCAACATGCTTTTAAACCTTATTTTCCATCTCTTAATAGCAAATATTATTTTATTTTATGAATATATGAGAGAGAGACAGGTTCTCTTCATCCACCTCCGAAAAACTCCTCTTCCTTTTTCAAGTCAGCATCTCACTTGTCTCAGATACACAAGCCCCACACACATTTCAGCAATTCAGGAACGGTTCAAGCACACATATGAAACCTAGAGTTGGATTCCCGTGTTCGCACCATCCTTTTTATCCCATTGTTTATACTTGTCAAGGATGTCAGACTCAATCGAGTTACTTTTAAGCAGAAAATTAAAGACAAAAATCTTTGAGGAATCTAGATGGTGTTTTTGGAAAAGAGAGCAAGTGGGTAGGAAATAAAAGGCTCTGTCTAATCTATATTATACATTATAGATCACATTTTATTGAGGAAACTGAAGAGAAAAAAAAACACTTTCCTGTCTCTCTTGATATACATCTCAGCAACTCCATTTCTAGACAGATATCTTCTTCAAACTGTAACATTCACATCCACCTTGTATAATAATTCCCATGCTTACAGCTTCTTTCTCCATTGAACTCTTTCATATCAGTTTTTACAGAAAAATTCAACATTATCCACCCAGTTTAGCATGGAAAGACAAAACCTGACTTTGCTATCTAGACTTCAGGGTTTTTCTCCATTTATCACTTCTATCTTGCTACACTGTAAAGCACAGTACCAAACTACCCATATCTTTCATCGAGTTTCACAAACACTTAGAGTTACTCTGCGGCACATCACTGACTCATTCTAAGGAAGTGTGAACACCAGTAGATTCAGAATCCAACTTCTAACCCTTTGCTTTCCCCTCCAAGCATTTTAGGATTTCACAGCATTTATTAATTTCTTCATATGACAACAAACCCATTTGTTCTTCCATCTGCTCAGTGTTGCGCTTTGTGCAAGCTAACAAGGCCTCCTGGAACTTGAAAACATCATGGAGACACGCTCGAGTGCTCTGCAGGTCCATTTATTTGCTCAAGATCATCATGAGCCAGACTAGATACAGGACACAGAAAACCATCCTGTGCTCAAGCCCCTTAAACCACCATACCTTCCAGATTCACTGCTGTGTTCTGTGCCACATAAAACCAAGTGTTTCACTTCCGAACCAAGATCTGAATAGTCAAGACACTAGCACTAACAAGCCTGCCTGAACTGGCTCTGAACATCTCTGCATCTGCAGGATTTTTAAACCACAACCTAGATAAACTTCCCACAGGTAGATGAGGGTACGATGAACTGATAATAAATATTTCTATATATAAACAATTTAACTTCCTTTTACCCCTTACTCTTAAAGCCTCATAGGCTCTATGCAATACTAATCCAAAAATATTAATGAATGCCAGACTTGTAGCACCAGTCACAGTCTAATTTTCATTGCTTAACCTTATTAGCTTAGACAAAACAGATTGATGTGCTGATTTATTTTTTTTAAACAGATATTCAAAGCTTTCCTGTTTGAAGAATGTCTCGGCTACGAGAAAAGGTCCAGAAAAAACTGCAGGGGATAGATATTAAGCAGGATCAAATGCCACCTCTGCTGTTGAGACAATGGTATTGTACAGAGCCACTGAGAAAGAATTGTTGACAATAGTATATATGCATCAAAAGTTCCAATTATGTTAGCCACACTAAAAACGTCAAGAAGATTTATGGGATACCAGCTGCTGACTGCGGTGGTTAGAAGCCACAACACAACCACCGCTGCCATAACAGAAGAAGTTCTGAACAGAGCATCTAAGGAGAATCTTCCAACGAAATTATGCTTGTTTGGCTTTTTGTGCTAGATAAAGATCCTAGGTTTGCTCTCCGCACTTCCAAAACAGTATTTCCCCTCTGCTAAGGTGGGGTTTTCTTGGACAAAAGAAATCAAGAGCCTTCCTTTCCTCTTGACATTCCGACAGCTCTACAGAGGGCAGGTTATGAGACTTTTTGCTCCACTGCATGTAATATTTGCCCCAAACAGCACTCAATATAAATATGTTGGTGTGTTAATATCACAAACACAGAGAACTGAACAATCAACTGCTTTCTATACCAAATGGAGGCTAGATTAAAAAAAAAAAAGTTCAACATAACATTTGTCACATTCTATTTTGCTTCCTTCTTGATGATTTTAAGTGGATGGCTTAGATGAAAAGCCATCCCATTTCTAACCCCTCAGCACTCCCTTTTTTCCTCCCTATTTTACCTACAGGAATCTAATGAACATCTACTTCACACCCTTCTGACACAGGCAAGCCAAACCAAAAAAAATATGAAAAACCCTCTACAAGACACTAAAATCAAACTTCGAGATTTTCTTCTTTTAAATAAATTCTTAACATAGCAAAATCTACAGCTTACTACAGCAAGCTAGCAGGAGAATGTAAGTAACATCTCCTGTGTCCTAAATCCTTAAGACAGCATGAACCTGCTAAGCAGTCATTTCCAGATTATTCTAGGAAATATTAGGATTTTTAAATACCAAATTGGTTATGTTTTTTTGTTATCTGCATGCTTTTCTACAACTTTAACCCCTTGGACTACTGCAAGCTTTGTATTCAGTATTAGGAAAAAAAAAAAGTATGAAACAAGATCCTTAAATGCAATCATGATGGATGCTTACTGGATAGCCCAACTTCAGATCAGTTTTTCATACCATCTCCTTCAACTTACATTTTCATGTTTCATGTGCTTAAGTAGCCGTAGCTCTCGGTAGGTCCTTTTGGCATGGATGATAGACTGAAATGGTCGGGACAGCTTCTTTACAGCCACACGCAACCCAGTTTTTGTGTCAAAGGCAGAACTACAATAAAGAGTAATCGAATTATCAGAATGAATTATTTATAAACACCTTCAAATACTCACTTAGTAGCTCCAGATAGCAGCTATCTGGATACTGAGTCACAGTCAATGCCATTTCTCCATTTCTGCAATGAAAATAATTTCTAGGTATCCTGGTCCACAACCTGCACCCCCACTCAAAATCCCCACATATTTACACAACTGTTGGTTTCTACAGAAAATGTTTAAAAGCTAAGTCTTATTCAAACAGTAAAGGGAAATTTTGTAGAAAAAAAGTGTTTATGACTTTTCTGTCTAAAAGCAGTGTGCTCTTAAACATAAATATAGCAATAAAACTCTGGAGAGAGGAAGAGTACTTGTAAATATTATCCGCATTCCTAAACATATTTTCATACACCACACTTCATCACAAAATATTATGCTCAAAATACTATCTTTTATGGTTTAAGTCCATACAAAAATCCAAGGCCTGTGCCGAATAAAATCAACTATGACAGTTGCTAATCACAACTGAAGTGAAATTTCTCTGGTAAATCACATCTAATCCTAAAGTCCTGCTATACAAAAATGCATGTGCATAAATGATATTTAGCTGTACATTACCAAAACTTGTCCCTTTAGCAGAAAGTTTGTACATATAAATAGTATTTCTTCTTAGAATTCATGAAAACTAATTCAAATCTATTTACTAACTTTATATATATATATTTGATATTTTGTACTGTAAAATAATCTTCTGAAGTAAGTCCTTATACAACTTATTTATTCATAATATTAAGAAGAAAAAGTCTGATAGTTTTGGAACAACCAAAAATTTAACACATTAAGAACTACGTTAAATTTCTGATACGCTGCCTAAAATCTTCCAGAGCTTAGGGCATACATTTGAGGAACTAAAGAAATGTAGGTGTTTAACTCTGAACCAAATTACTCCTCTTTCTTCTCTTCTTTGATGTTCTTATCTAAAACGGCTCTGGTTTGTCAAAAAGGAAGGAGGAAGAAAAAGAGAGGATGTGAAATTAAGGTTACACTTGATTCAAGATAACACACAAGGGGAAAATATGGAATGGAGGAAATCAGAGGAGGACAATATTTGTTTATTTTCCTGCCATGTTTTGATTCAGGGCAAACTCCTGATCCATTTAAACCTGAGTATACACTAGTTCTTGATAAACGTGAAGTGAAAAGGAAAGCTATCCATTTATAAATGTAAAGTGTGAGGCAGCTTAACTAATAGAAAGTTCAAAACCAACCACAAAAGTAGTCCTAGAACAAACCCACAATTGCATATATAACCCTCAACGCCCACCCCGCCAAAGAAGCCATTTGAACTAAGTGTCGTTTATTTTTAAAGCAACTAACTGGAATTAACTTGCAAAAAGATTCCTTATCTCAAAGTTGCTCAGTTTCTAAAAAAATTGCTATATGAGGTTTATGAGAAACAGAAAACAAAATTCAAGTTTGTTTCTACGAATGGCGATCCTTCCCCCAGGTCCTGCGAGAGAATGGAAAACCCCACCGTGCACAATGGAAGAAGAGTATCTCCTTCTCTATAGAGGGGCACCTGCAGACACACAGTGGAGAGAGCTCCCTGGAAAAGATACAGAAGATCTCAGGAGCATCAACCTGCCACAGCTGAATTACTCAAGCTACACCATACCATTATCAACCACTTCCACACATGAGTTATCCTTTACACCTCAGCCTGGGCAGACAAAAGAAGCCATTAAGCATTAATTTTTTTTTAACCTTGATTTCAAATGATCTTCGGCAAGTCTTCTTGATCACCAGAACATCGATATTTAAGCTGCAACACTTCATGAAACGGAATTCAATGTTTTCAGCTTCACGTACGCCGTTTTGCAATACACAAACATACCTAACTCAAGCTGTAATTATATGACAACATTTTAATGATACTCAAGGTGTTTTCTAGGATTTAGAGCAAAAATAAGATTAGTCATCAGAATTCAACACAAGCTCTTGTGAACTAGTCATGAATCTTTATCAGCTTTCAAACACTTTGGGTACAAAAGGCAGCATACACCATTATCTCTTTCATCTCGAAAAGAAGGGGATCCCCTGCGTATTAACCACCTTCACAGCTATGTAGTCAGATTTCTCTCTTGGTTTCCACAAGATTCTCTTTAGAGAAGATTTCAGAGCCACCAGACGTAACATAAGCTATTTCAGAGTGCAAAGGAAACTGAATTTTCACCTTCTTTTTAATGACATTTTTGGGGTCGTATCAAGTCATCATTCTGCTGTAGTAGATAGACAGTCTCCAAGGAGAATCGCAATCAGCAGTACCGAGAAACTGTTTAACCAGCACAATGACATTATGCACCAAGCCCAGGAAAGAAAATTTTGTATTACTGTGCATTTGCAATCTGGAGTTACTCTTGAAGTCAGAAGAATTCGAAGTTCTGTCATATTTGAGGTCTAAAGACTATTTCCCT